TGCGCGGGTCTCGTTTCAGCTGATAAGACCATATTGCCTTTCGAAGGTGTGCACCCCTCCTAAATTTAAAGCTTTCCTAAGGAAAAAGAGGCATCCTCAAGCAAGGGGTTTCCATATTCTTGAAATACACTAAAAACGGTGGATATTTGGGGGGGGGTAATATATATATATATATACCCATGATTTGAAGAAATATGCATGGAGTTTAGGTTACAAGAGTGAGGCTTAGGGTATAGCGTGCTAATAAAAGCCTACTGGGAGGTTCTTTCACAGCCTTTCCTTGCTTGGCCCCAAAGAAGGTCCAAGGTACCCAACTAGTACATGGCTTAGGGATTGGGATTCGGGGTTCAGGGCTGAGGCTTTACACCGTTTGGACCCTAAACCCTAATCCCTCAACCCTAAACCCAAACCCTAAACCCTCAACCCTAAACCCTGGACCCGTTTAAGGCTTGCTTGGATTTGGCTCCATGATGCAGGACGTACAACTTAGGGAGTAGCACAAGGGCGCAAGCTGTTTGCTAAACAGGGATACGGGTTTAGGGTTTAGGGGTTTAAGATTTAGGGTTTAGGAGTCTTCAGGTATATCTAGGGATTCCAAAAAAACCTGGTCACCATGCAGGCTCAGATAAGCACGCAGTTTAGGGTTTAGGGGTAATTAAGCCCATGAACCAACAATGGCTTTGTACCTACTATGTTGGTATCTTCCCTTTTGAGGATAGTAACCTTCAATCCTAAAACGCTAGGATGGGTGAATGTCTCGGAGCAAGCTACGGTGTTGTCTTCAATCAGCTTTAGCACCCGCGATTTAAGGCAATTAGCTTTGAGGGTGTAAGGTTCAATTCTTGTAACTAGGATGGGGTTAAGAGCTGATGGGGTTTTGGGTTTGAAGCTTGAGGGCTGCACCTTAAACCCTAAACTCCTAAACCCTTAACCAAAAGTTCACCAAAAGTCCTTCATGGGGGCTATTTGGATATATGTGCGGTGACGCATGCTCCCAATAACCCTAAACCCTACGTGAACCCTAGACCCTAAACCCTAAACCCTAAAAAGCCCTAGACCCTAAGCCCTAAAAAAACCCAGACCATCCCAGACCCCAAGCCCTAAACTTGCGGAATGCCTGCAACACAGATTGTGTCAAGATAGTATTAAATGTGGTGAAGGTTGAGGGTTTTATCTGGGTTTGGCTCGCTTTTACATGCCTCTTTCTCATCTACTTACCCTCTCTACCCCAATAACCAGGGCTAAAAAAGTTTAAGCTTTACTATAGAGATCCAAAAAGGAAGCCCAAAAAGGTTAAAGTTCTTCTATAAGCTAAGTAAGTACCAAGTCCCCAAGGCCTCTGAGTAGGCCCCCCAAGGTCGAAAGCTACTTTCAGTTTTTAGTTTTCGGTGTTTGGGGGGGCCCGAGCAGAGAAACTTAATTATCAACAGTATCAAGCCTAGAACGTAGGAGCCTGCCTACTTTTGGGGCTATATTGGGGTTATATTGGGATCATGGAAACTGGAAACTACTACTTAGGGTGTAGGGCGCACTAGACTGTAAGTAAACAAGTCTTGTCAGGGGATAGAACTGGAAGTTCTTCGCGCTTCTATACTCAACATCCTGTAAACATCAGTAGGCCATGTGTTCTTTACATTTGGTTCCCCTGATCCACTAGTTATTTGGGCTACTAACATGCTCCTTCACAGGTCAGGGATTAGGGTTTGGGTTTACGGTTTAAGATTTACTCTTTAGGGCTTAGGGTTTAGGCACACTGAGTCGTCCGCAGATATTTTTTCTTGTTCTGAAACGTGGCGGTTGCCAGGGCTACAAAACCCCTACCTTGGATAGGAGAAATCCTGCTGACTCCGAGTAGCCTATACCGTGGGAACTATGCTATTCCGATGCCACTATGTTCACATCATAAGGGAGTAAAAGGAATAACTAAACCCTAAACCCTAAATAGTGGTTTCCATTTTATTTCCATTATCCCAATCTAAAACCTAAATAGTGGTTCCGTTTTATTTTCCATTATCCCAATATGACCCTAATCCTACCCCGATAGGTACCTAAACCCTGAATCAACCACAGTATTTGGAGCAGCCCTAACCCTACACCCCGCACACTACACCCTAACCCTTTCACATACGCATACCTAAGCCAGAATTTAGGGTTTAGGGTTTAGGATGTTTTCAGACGACCTCGGAAGTTAGTATCAACCCAAAAAGTTGTCTGATCAAGGGCCAGTCTCCCTTTCACATACGCATACCTAAGCCAGAATTTAGGGTTTAGGGTTTAGGATGTTTTCAGACCTCGGAAGTTAGTATCAACCCAAAAAGTTGTCTGATCAAGGGCCAGTCTGATCTATGCAAAGGATCAAAGCCAGCGTTTGAAGGTTTATGGTTTAACGTATAGGGTGTAGGGTACTTACTCAGTTACAAGGCTTGGAGCTTAGGGTTCAGAACTGACAGGGGGTATTTAGTGGGGGAGTCCGAATGATTACCAATATAATTCCCTACAATCCTTTATATGTTTCTGGCGTTACGCACAACACTTTAAACCCGAGATCATGACTGCTGGCATTAGGTTTAACAGGCCGCTATAGAAGCCTGAAATATTACGCAACAATATCTCTTTAATGGGGGTCTGTAGGGTTTGTATATAGGAACTCTGCAGGGGAGTCTAGGGGTATGTACGTTTTCGGGGTTTCGGGTGTGGGTGGTTTCAAGGCAGGCATACTAGAAAGCGGAGCAACCTGGAAAAGAGGCACATGAATGATGTTTGGCAGACCCCACGAAAGGCCAAAGGTGTATGACTCGCTGGTACTTACTCGGAAGCGAGTGAGCGGGTCAAGCGGACTGCTCTTTTGGCATTCTTTGCTTCTCGAACTCTGCATAGACTTTTCGGAGCCCTCTATTTTAGTTATGTCCATATGTCAATGTCCCACTCAACCTTGAGCATAAAGACCTAATATATCTTGCAGAGTCCAGGCAAAATCCTGAACGCCTGAACGCGAAGCCGTTAAGCCCTAAAACCCTACACCCTAAACTCTAAAACCCCTAAAACCCTATACCATCAACCTTAAAACCCTAAGCTCTAAAACCGTAAACACTCAAACGCTAAACCCTTAACCAAGGGCTCGCTCTGTTGACTCTTTTTCTTGCCGAAGACAGCATAGACGCAGACGCTGCCGTTGCTTGACCACGAAAGGCAGTCGTTGTGAAACCACAAACCCTGGAGCTCTAAGTCTCTATCCAGTTCAGGGTTTGGGGTTGAGGGTTGGAGGTTTAGGTTGGGGTTCTGAGGTATATAAGAAATACCTGCATTGGGCCCCAAAGTCTATAACTATCACCAAACTTGCTCTATTTGAAGCCAGAGGGCATGGACTTAGGAGAATATTGCTCTCTTTGTTTGCATTCCTCTCTTCAGGCACACTCAAAAACCGACAAGAGTATGTACCCATCCCCGCAATGCGGACTACGCTGCAAACCACCCATGAAACATGCGGGGCAGCACTGTTTGCATGGTTGGCCTCGTCGAACTGTCAAACTACGCAGACTACGCATATGAAACAAATTACAAGCCCTACTGTTGATACTAAAAATACTGCATGACCCTCGTATACTATATAGTACCAGTAATCCCAACGTATAAGGCACTAGGGTAACGCAGTATTTTTAGTATCCAGCGTAATATTGCTTGCATTTCATTATCCGTTTCTTTTTTCAGAGAAGTGCACATAATCCTGGGGCTCGAAATCTATAAACAATACCGACATTGGGCCGAAAAGTCTGCAACTGCAGATCCCTCGTCGAAACCGCAAACCCGCAACCTGAAACTCTAACTCCAAAACCCGGAACCAAAATCCATAAACCCAAATGCATGTAATCCTTACTGTTGATACTACTATAGTACTGTAATTCCCCAGATGTAGGGTTCTTAGGATCATGCAGGATTTCTTGTATCCACCGTAGTCCCTACACCCCAAACCCTAACTCCTAAGCCCCTAAACCCAAACCTTCCATCTCACTCTCACATCTCCTAAAACCCTAATACCCTAAACCCCACAATTATCCTAAACCTCAAACCCTAAAATCTAAATTATGCTAAACCCTAAACCTTAAACCCTAAATTATCTCACATATCATGGCTCAGAAGAACCTTCGGCACTGCAGCCTTCAGTTTGTTTATGAACTCGGCCCATGGAGGCCTTGGATCCCGAGCACGTGCGACAGGGTCCACTGGGTTGGGTATGCTTCAGGTTCGGGGCTTGGGTTTGAGGTTTAGGGCTTACCAGGAACCTCCAATGTGGTTCCTTTGTGGGTTTGGTATGGTTTTTGGTTAGGATTGTTAGTAAGGCTACCAAAAAGGTACTACATTGGAGGGTCTAGGTAGGTGTGGGTTTGGGGTTTAAGGCTTAGGTGTTGGGGTTTAGGGTTTGGGGTTTCGGGTGCAGTGGTGCAGGGTTTAGGGGTTAGGATTTAGTATGGCCTGCGGTTTAGAGACTAGTAGGGTTGTAGGAATATGCTTCAAGAACAGTACGAAATCAAAAGGTTGCATAGGCATTTAGACTGCATCATGTGACATGCATCTTCTTGTTTGGTGGGGTTTAGGGTTTATGTCTTTGGGTTTGGGGTTTTGTCTTGAATTTGGGATGGTTCGAAACGAGTACATGGTTGAGTTTTCCCTCGAATTGGGATTTTACCGGGCTGCCATAGGGCGCGATCAGAAATGCTGTAGGCTTTCTCAACAACCATGAACCCTGAACCCCAGACTTCAAACCCGAAACCCCAGATTGAAAAACCCTAAACCCTGAACCTCAAATCCCAAACCCCTATACCCTAAACCCTACGTACACCTAAACCCTACAGCCTAAATCCCTACACCCCTATAAACCCTAAACCCCCAAACCCTTAAACCCTGAGCCACAACCTGACTCCAGAAAAGGGTCGACTCGATGTTGTTCTTTCGCAGATCCAACTCCTGCAGTGATGTCTCCTGGGCGAAAACCTTGCGAAAGGTCGGGTTTAGGGTTTAGGGTTTACCCTAAACCCCTAAAACCCCAAATCCTGACAGTTTGGGTTTTGAGGGCTTAGACCTGAGGAAGTCATGATGCCCCACACACCCTAGATTTTAAGTTGATGCTATACCTCCCTAACTCATTAAAATTTCAAGCTTAATGGATTAGTGGGCATGGGCCAAAAATGAGTGGGCATTGGCCAACTCCATATTTTGGCCAATGCCCACTAATTCTTCACTTCTGGCAGGTGGGCAATTAGTGGGCATTGGCCCAAATTGGTCAAACATTAATGGGCATTGGCCAAAAATTAACGCTGGCCTAAAAATAGTGTGCATTGGCCAAACACAGTGGGCAGCGGCCACTTTAGGGTTCAGGGCTTGGGGTCTAGGGTTCGGGGCTTTAGAGTTTAGGGTTCTAGGGCTTAAAGTCTAGGGCTCAGGGCTTAGAGTCTAGGCTTAGGGTCTGGGGCTCAGGGCTTACAGGGCTTAGAGTTTAGGGTTCTAGGGTTCAGGGCTTAGAGTTTCGGGTCCAGGGCGTATAGTTTAGGGTTCAGGGCTTAGAGTTTAAGGGTTAGACGAGTTTAGAGCTCAAGTTATGCAGGGGGACGCGTGGTGGAAGGGCGTCGTTTCATGAGTTGAAGGATTTTGAAGGTGATGTATTTTCTTAATGTTGTGGGACCCAATGAGCGGGTGGGTATTTTTCTATGACTTGAAACAACTGTTCTTGGAATGAATGCTTGAACTTGAGATGCAGAACCTTAGGTATTTAGGCTTCGCGCGAGGGTGGGCCTGCTCCTTGAGCAAGGCAGTCGGATTTAGGGCTTAGGGTTTTAGGGTTCATATTTATATAGTGGTTCAGGGTTTAGGGTTTTAGGGGTTTGGGGTTTAGGGGTTTAAGGTCTAGGGGTTTAGGGGTCTAGGGTTTGGGGTTTTGGGCTTAGGGTTTTGGGCTTGGGGGCCATACGTCATAGACTTGCATCTCCGAGAAGACGATAACCTATGTTACTGCAAGTACACCAACCCCAGCCTCGGAAATTCTAAGCCGTTACCTAGACCCTGGGTGTCCTACCTTTTTTGGGATATACCGATATACCCTATAAATATGTAGGACAGAATCCCAAAAAGAAAGGACATCCAGGGTCCAGGTCATGCATGGTAATCCAGGATCGAACCCATCATGAAGATGACTCACCTGGACCTTCCAATCTATTGTGAAGGTAACCCAGACCCGTGACTAATAAACCCCCTCCCCTTAATAGGATTTATAATCAGGATCCTAATATTAAGGCCCTTAAAAGGAGGGGGTTTATTAATCATGGGTCACCGTTATTTTGTTAACTTCAACCTCCAACATAAGGACACAATGACTAAGAGTATGACTGCCATAGGGTCCTCGTAAGTTACCCACGACCCTGTCATCAATGCATCTCTTTTTGGGTTTGGTGCGCGTTTTCTGGCTAGAATTATTCGGACACTTCCCGAAAGGTGCTTTGATATAAGGCTTGGGGGAGGTAGTTGCGCACAGGCTTGTACAAAGATTAGATGTCGTGGCTTAGGGGGGTGGGGGGGGCTGAGGGCAGTTTTGGGCTTAGGACACTATAGCATTTAGGGAACTTAATTGTTGGCTATGGGGTTTTGTTTAGTGTTTACACAACTCACAACAAAGACACGCCCCCTCATACCCTGAACTTCAGGGACTAGAGAGCCTGAAAGCCCACCAGCAAAACACAATGCACAATCCCAAGCCTAAACACAAGTGCAACGCAAAAAACTGTCCATTCAGAAAGCCTTCGGGTAAGCACAGGGAAGTCCGACCTCTGAACCCTAAACCCTAACCCCCTAAATCGACAAATCCTAAACCCTAAACCGCGTGGAGCCAAGCCACCGGCTGGAAACCGTCCTCGACAAGGTACTGAAACCTCCAGCAGGATTTGGGGGTTTATGGTTTAGGGTTTTAGGGTTTACACGCTTGAGGTTTAAGTCGTTCTTTCGGGCTTGAAGTTGAGGCTTAGGGTGTATGGCTTTGGATTTGGGGCTTTGGGTTTAGGGTCTTCTGGGGTGTAGGGTTCAAGGCTTAGGGTTTGGGGTTTGGGGTTTGGGATTTCGGGCCTAAAGCCCGGCTTCCGGCACCGCGTGCTCGGAACCTCCTACCCCGAATCCTAAGCCTAAATCTGGAATGAAAATCCTCAACACTAAGTCTTTGGGGTTTAGATTGGGTACTCCCCAGTAACAGTCTATATTAGGGGTCCTATTAAGGGCTATATATAACCATAATATATCTATTATCCAACTGTTACTGAGGGGGGGCAGTACCCAAGGTTTAGAGTTTGGGATGTAGGGTTTAGGGGCCTGATGCCTCAAGCGCAAGCCCTTAATCCTAGATGAAGGTCTTCCAACATCAAATTCACACTGTAGACTCTTAGCCTTGTAGATAAACTCAGGAGGATAAACTCAGGGGAATATTTACTACCCTCGCTCAGGACCCCCTCACCAAAACTATGATGGGCTCTCGGGCCTGCAGTAAGGGTCGGGGGGGTCCGGGGGCTGCGTGGGTCTTAAAGGGGATGGAGGTTAGTAAATACTCCGACTATAAACCCTAAGCCCTGTAAATCCTATCCTTTACTTTTCCTATAATAGACCTTAAATCCTAAATGCTAAATAATAATCCTGTTGCAAACCCTAAGCCCTGAACCCTCAAGATCTCTCTGATAAAGCCTAAACCCTAGATCCTTCCCGGAACTCTGGCAAGGAGACCTTCCTAAACCCATTAAAAACTAACCCTAAGGGTCCAAGGACCCAAAGAGTAAGGTTTTAGGGCCCAAATACTATATAAGACTATATAGTATTTGGGCCCTAAAACCTTACTATTTGAGTCCTTGGACCCGTAGGGTAAAGGTCGTTGAATCGCCCCCAGCCCCCTCCCCTTTCTCTTTCTGCTTGTCTGCGGGCTCTCTATAGACTATAACTCTCGAGATTTTAGGACCTTTCGAAAGCCTTTTTAGGTTCAGAACTGCCGGAATATGCTGAAAAACTCATCCCCATCCAGCCCACACTCAAGGATCTGAACCTTGCAAACGTTGGTTAAGGGCTTAGGATTGCAGGGTTTTGGGTCGTAGGATTCAGGATTGTAAGGTTAAGGTTGCAGGGTTTAGGGTTTAGGGCTCCGCGTTGGGGTTTAGGGTTGTAGCATTTACGGTGTCGTGATATGGGGTTTGGGGTTAAGGGTGGGGTTAAGGGTTGAAGGATCCAGGGCTTGGGGTTGCAGGGTTTAGGGTTGTAGGCTTCAGATTTGTGGAGTTGTGGGGTCTAGGGTTGTAGGCTTGTAGGGTTTAGTAATAAACCCTAAACCCTCAAACCCTAAACCCTAAACACTAAGGCTTCTGGGTCAGGGTTGCGAAACATTTTAGTGTTATGGGCTGTGGGGCTTTAAGCTATACTTCTAAAAGTGCAGAAAGTGCTGATTGTGGTCCTTCCTTCTTGGTCTCCTAGTCTACACCCTATACACTCCTATGTCACATAAGCCTATGTCACCTTATAACACGAGATACACCTCTAGATATACATATATATATATATATCATTGTACATATGAAAATATATCAGTATCTATAATATATATATATATATGTCCCTACATGTTGGAAACCGTAAGCCCAGAGCCTGAAAAAAACCAAACCCAGAAACAAGCCCAAAGCCCTAAACCTTTGATAGATCATCATTCCTGAACCTCCCTAAACCCTGAACCCAAAACCTGAATACACCCTGCAAAGGAAGGCCCCGGTAGTTTTGAGTTGAAACACATGGTTTAACGTTTAGGATGATATTGGGATATGTATGGTTATAGGCCCCATAGTTGCAGGTTAAGGGACTGCGATGTAAAGTAACGTCCGATTACGTAACTAGGGGCCCCCTCCTTGTAAACCCTGAACTGCATACTGGTATACGCGTACTTCTTCAAATTAGAATGGTAGTTTCCATAAATAGGAGGACCCTAACGTAGACCCTAAAATGCCACAATCCTTGTTCTAGGAACCTCAGAACGGCACCCCCCATTTTAGGAAACCCTAATCTCCATACAATCCCAACACATCTCTAGAAAACTCCTATACCCTTTCAAAGAGACAAATTTTCGGAAACAAGCTGAGCTATAGTCTAAAGTCCTAGTATCCCATATAATCCTCTCCTATATAATCCACTGTATAACCCCTTGAAGAAGTTTAGACCCTAAACCCTGAACCCTAATCCCTAAACCCGGCACCCTGATCCCTAAACCCCGAACCTCATACAACCCCCTTTTAGGAGCTTAGACCATATCTCAAGTGGGGCCGGAGGACTGTTCACCAGTGTCTCCGATGTCGTTCCGGCTTAGGGAAAACCTGCCGCTGTCTGAAAATTGGGCTTCTGCTGATGCTAAGCGCGGTTTAGGGTTTAGGATTTAGGGTTGGGGGTTCCGCTGATACAAAACATCCTGCATGACTTGTGTAGATAAAAAACGGCTGTTCCTCAGGCGCCAGGAAGGGTTGCGAGCAACATCGGTCGTGCCGCAATTATAGGAGGTGGCGTTGCCCCACCAGATTCCTAGGAATCGACGGATTTTGTGGGCCAAAATGCCCTGCAGTATGCCGCACCTTCCGCCTCCTTATGCGCACAACTCATGCATCAAACAGAGGATCAGAGTAAATCTGAAACGGCGACAGTTTCAGACTCATCAGTGGACTCATCAGTCATTACAGTGCTATTGTTCCAGCGACAGCACTGAGCGGCTTAATGATGACAACTATAGATAGGGACATATAGGGATGGGCAGGGTTTAGGGTCAAGGGTTTGTACTCCCCCGAATTAGGGATTGTGCAGGAGATATATGAGGTAGGCTTGTTCTTATGGTTTTTGGTGGGTATACTTAAGGTTCCTTCGAATATTGATGGGTGTAAAAATTTGGTGAGGGACCATGATATGAATCCTACAACCACATATAGGGATGTAGTCCCCCAAACAAACATGGAAGCCCATACAGCCCCCCTTTCAAGGGACAGCAGTCTTTGTAGGGCCCTTTTTAGGGTCATGCATGCTTTTTAGTATCCACCATTCAGGGTTTAGGGTTTACGGAGTTCAGGGGTTCAGCGCTTAGAGGTTATATAGGTTGTACGAGTAAGGGCTCAAGGGTTAGGCTTTGTAGGCCTGAGGGTTTTATACAAGTTTGGTTTACTATATACCCTATATATGCCCTTAAAGGTCCCCAGGACCACCCTAAAAGACCTAAGGGCCCATGTTAGGGGCCCATACTTCTAACCTTAGATACAAGTTTGGTTTAGAGGGTTTAGTTAAGGGTTCAGGTTGGATGACGCCAGTAACAGTCACGTGATGGACTTTTACGCGGGTATCATTGTCTGAAATTCGAAGGCTTCGGGGCTTAAGCAACCCTAAACCCAAAACCTTTCAACCTTCGAGATTTCAGGACTTTGGGTTTCGGATGTTGGGCTGTATGGCCGTGTACGCTCTGGATCAGGTTAGAGTCGGATCCAAAACTTTGGTACTGGGAGGTGTCACTTCAAAACGGTTCAAGGTTTAACTGAACCCCAAAAGTATGTAGAATAATGGCCTTTTGGGCTATGTTAATGGGTTTGGGGCGATGATTTTACCTAGTTTTGGGGTTCAGGTAGGGCTTAGGGTTGCTGACTGTCCCAGGAGTCGCAAGTGTATTGTGTGGCAAGAAAACAGAACAGGCGCAGCTCTAGGTGTCCCATGCGACATACCCGAAACAAGTACGCGGCTTTCCTGAACCTCTACAATCTCAAATTACAATACCCCTGGACAAAAGTTCTAGTATACTCATTAACAGGTCCCGCTATACCCAATGTCCTAAACCCTAAGGCCTAAACCCTAAATCCTAAACCCTCTATATATATACACACACACACACCTCCGTAGGTCCCCCGACCTTCCTCTCTTGTCCGTAGCTTACAAGGAACCATGGGTTGCCAGGCAATGGGAAAACGGAAAGGTCTGGGGTTTAGGGCTTAGGGATCATAATTGAGTGCCTGCCGTGCTCAGGAACACATGGGCAGTTCCAAAATTAGAGTCCCACTTTGGCCACCCCAAAATATTCGGTGCCGTAATATTAGAACCAAAAGGCGGCCTCTAATTTTGAGAAATGACCCACATGATGTTAATTGCGCGCCCGGATAGATTTGATATCTCTACAGTAGGTCCTATGTAACCGGCACCAAGACTCTGAAAAAGACTGGGTTGTCGTTAAGGAACTTAAGTTAAGTGATTACATTGGGGAAACCCTATTAATCACTATGTATATATGCCCGTTATGGTAACTTAAACTCGAGCAAGGCCCTGTTT